CGGCTCGCCCCGCCCCGTGGTTGGCGGACGGCTCGCCCCGCCCCAGGGCTGGTGGGCTCGGCACTTGTCTGCATATTCTTTAAGGGCAGGGACTATGTCTACATCAGTGCCCAACATAGACGAGGGTACTTCAAAAAGTTTATGGAAAACTGGAATTAAAAGGTAACACAAATCTTCCCATGAGCTTTCTGAAGACTCCTCGTGTTCGGTGCTCAATACGGAACAACGTGGAGCAGGAGGCATTAGGACTTCAAAGACCGCAGAGCTGTTTCCAGCACCGTCTCTACCCAGGAGACAGACACGTCTCCCAGAGAGAGTAGATTTATCCATTTATTCATGAAACATTGTTTGAGCCCTTACTATGTGCCAAGCACTGTTTTAGGTTTGGGGACACCCCAGAGACCCACATAGGCTTGACCCTGCTCTCACACGTTCTCAGTCCAGTAGGGGAGACAAACCTATCCCAGACAGAATGACCTGGAGTTGACAAAGTGGGTCGGGGGAGCCAGAGGAGGCATCTGATCCAACTTGGGGGCTCAGCAAGGGCTCCCTGCAGGAGGGAGTAGTTATTCAGGCAAACGGTCAGAGGGCAGCCAGGAAGAAAGAACACCGTGCAAAGCCCTGGTGGCAAGCAAGACCATTCCGCACTAGGAGCGGTGAGAAAGGAGGCTGCGCGGATCTGCAGGGCCTTGTAGCCTTGCAGCCTGGGCTCAGGAGCTCAGACTTCCTCCTGAGGGCACTAGGCAGCCACAGAAGGGATGTGAGGAGGAGACGGACAGAACCCAATTTAAGCTTTATAAAGATGCAGATGCCTATGACTGGTCCTGCCTTTATAACCCTGTCTCTGGGTCCTGTATCCCACAGCACAACCTGTCAGGCAAAGTGGATGAGTCTGGTGATGGCAGGGTTCTTGGCCTGACACTGGCACGGTCCCAAATTGCTCTGCGACACCTGGTGGGTGGTTGGGCTCCGCTGGTCCAGGGACAGCTCCAGCTGCCTACTACTCACCATCAGCTCCTTGTCGATGTACCACTGGAACATGGCATTGATGCTAGGACACTGGCAGCTTAGGGTCACCGATTCCTGCAACTCCACGGGTGCCACCATGGAGGCTGTAATGGTGGGTGGGGCCAGCTTCTCTGTGGGAGTGGAAGATGGATAGAGATCCCAGCAAAGCCACCGCCCCCCACCAGAGATTGTGACCACATTGGTCTTCCCCTCTGAGTCTCAGGTTCCCCCTCCAAGAATGAGCCAAAAATAGTACCAGCCTCATGGGGCTGTTGTGAGGATGACATGAACTAACATATGTGACAACCTTAGCCCAGGGTCCAGCAGATAGCAAGCGAGCAGTGATGTACCTGTGGTCCTTGCCCTTGGGCTGTAGACTAGGGGAGAGAGAGGGAATATTATGTACCACATGCTATTTGTAACTGAATAAGTCATTTTCTCAGACACATATATGCTGCTTTTTTCCAAAATATATAAAGAGGTAGTGATGCCAAAAAATGTTATACAAAGCATGTCAATGTACGATGAAGATTATTCATTTAATCATTCATGTAATGAACATTTACTGAGCACCTGCTCTGGACCACATCCTGTGCTGAGCAGTGCTGGGACACAGGAGGGACTAGACAGCCCCAGCCCTGCCCTCCTGGGGCTCACAGTCCAGTGGGGGATACAGATCCATCCCCAGACAGGGACAACCAGAGCAGGTAGGCTGGGATGGGGAAGCCCAGAGCACTGGGGGAAAACAGAGGGGTACCTCATCCAACCTGGGGCAGTAGGGAAGGCTTCCAGGAGTGGGGTGCATGGGAAAAGGAGAGCACCCCAACCAACATCATGAATATCTGGGGGAAGAGATATTAAATAATTGTGAGATTGAGATCAGGCAGGGTTCCTGGAGGAAGAGAGCTGTAGGGGGAAAACAGAGAAATGAGTAGCCAGCCAGAAGACCGCAGCCAGCCAGCCTTTCCTCCTTTCATTTATTCATTAATACACAATTCCTTGAGCACCTATCCAATGTCCAGCCCACTGCTGGGCAGTTCGGGGGACACAGTGGTGACCAAGACAATCCTGGCTGTGCTCTCTCAGGATCACAGTCCAAACAACAATGACCCAGAGTGGGCAGGGTAATGGCAGCTTGGGAGCTCAGAGGTGACATCTAACCCAGGGACACGGATGAGGTCAGGAAGTCTTCACAGAGGGGGGCAGTCTGAGCTGAGATCTGAAAGGCATGGTAAGCACTCAAAATATGAGCTACTTTTTAAAAATTATCTATGGCCAAAATGTTGCTATAGGCCTGTGGGGGCACAGAACAAAGAGATTTGACATAATCTGCTGGATCAGGGAACCACCATTAGTTGATCCTTCCACCCACCTATCCATCCATTATTTCATTTAGCTGGTATTTTCTGAGCAGCACAGCAGGGACCAAGCCAGCCCCAGTCCACGCCCTCATGGGACTCACAGTCCAGTAGGGGAGACAGACTCATTCCCAGGCAGGGACAACTCAGTGCAGGCAGAGCTGGTAGGGGGAACCCAGGGAACTGTGGGGGTCCAGAGTGGGTGCCTGACCTAGTCTGAGGATCAGAGAGGACTCCGTGCAGACAATGACATTAACACTGAACGTTCCAGAGTGATAGTGGAAAAAGATATCCAGGTGATGGGAAAAAAGGATTACAACAGAGGGCAGAGCGTGAGCAAATACTAGAGG